CAAATTCAACGCCACAATTCAGCACCCAAAGTTCAGATATAAAAAATGCCACATTTTTTATAATTGGTATCATATGGCTTTGAAACTTTGTAAACTGTTTTATAATACACTAAGCTTAAATCATGCCAAGTTTTATTAGAATTGGTCAAGTTTTAGACCCCTAATAGGCCCAAGACCACAATTAATGATCCCGCTTTTCGTTGTCCACGAATATAGTTCCTTTTAATTAGAGTGTATTTTTTCTTAATTTTTTTTCTTTCCCTTCCTCACTCATTTCTTAGTTTTTTGTGGGTGGAAATAAAAGAAGAGAGGTGAAATAAACTTTTGGATGTTGTATTTTAACTGATTTTGATATGGAAAGAGTGATTAGGCCAGGTGCAAAAAGGTGATATTTACAGTTTTCGGAACATCTCTTGACTTGTCCATAGGGGTATGGATGTGTATTGGCTAAATTTGTAAGAGTCATTGGTTCAATCTTTCTGAATTTTGGATATATTTTTGGACTAGTACTATACATTACACACACAAAAGATTTGACAAAAATGCAAGGTGCAATTTTTTTAATGAAACAAAACGTTATAAAGAACTAATAGGGGAATTTAATTGTGGTCTGTGGCCTAAGAGGTGAATTCAGGAAATATTGAATTTGTACTTTGACAACTTCACTGAATGATCTATTGGTATTAATTTGTCAAACTACATGAGAATAAATGATTTCCACTTTTATTTGATAGAAATTTTGTAAAAAAGTGACATTTCAGCCTACATGCCCAAAATTGAACTTTTTCAGTTGTTTCAATATTTTTACAAAAGTAGCATGCTTACTTTCTCTCTGACAGATTTTTCTGGTTTTCTATTTGTGTTTGTGGTATCTAATGTAGATGTTTAACTCATTTTTGAACACTGAACACAAAAAAAGTAGATAAAATCAGAATAAGAGTGCAAAATGTGCTGCTTTAATGGTCTTTGTCTAACGGTCAGTATGAAGCAAGTGAAAAATGAGGTTCTATGCACATACAAGTTGAATTCCTTTTAGCAGATTTCACTGAATCTGTATCAAAAGCACTTATTACTGGTTGTTTGACCTTGTCTGTTTCACAGACTACCTTTATTTTATTTTGTTTGATAGCTAGTGGTTAAAATATTGGCCTTTTGAGGCTGAAATTTCATGCCGATTTTAAAAAGTAAAGTAAATAACTTTGCTTCAAATCATACTGTCTACATATATAGTTGAAAGTGACAGTCATGTTACATCCAGGCTCCATGTTTTATCATATCTAAACAAAGATTTGAGCAAAAAGAAGCATATCTCTACCTACCATATCATTTATATGCTTTTTAATATGCAAATGTGGGGAACGACCTAAATTGACAACCTGTTTTTTTAAGCTTGACATTGCTGAAGACAATTTTATTCACATGTGTTATGCTATTTGAAACTAATATTTCCATTAAAAGTACATTTATAACATGTAAAAGGTTTTTTTATAACTTAACAACTTCAGAAAATTGTGGTAAGTGAAAAATATTACATTTCATATAAGGCCTCACATCATTTGAAAACCTCTATTTTTTGGCACAGGCTCATATAAAATTTACTTCTGGCCATTTTTTATAAGTCTGAAACATGAAGTATGCTATCTGTTGCTTTTAATAGGTGATAACTTATACATAGAAACATTAAAAAATGTAAGTTTTGGTATATTTTGGTTTTTAGAAGCCCAAATTTGATAGTTGAAATTGTTCAAATTCAACGCCACAATTCAGCACCCAAAGTTCAGATATAAAAAATGCCACATTTTTTATAATTGGTATCATATGGCTTTGAAACTTTGTAAACTGTTTTATAATACACTAAGCTTAAATCATGCCAAGTTTTATTAGAATTGGTCAAGTTTTAGACCCCTAATAGGCCCAAGACCACAATTAATGATCCCGCTTTTCGTTGTCCACGAATATAGTTCCTTTTAATTAGAGTGTATTTTTTCTTAATTTTTTTTTCTTTCCCTTCCTCACTCATTTCTTAGTTTTTTGTGGGTGGAAATAAAAGAAGAGAGGTGAAATAAACTTTTGGATGTTGTATTTTAACTGATTTTGATATGGAAAGAGTGATTAGGCCAGGTGCAAAAAGGTGATATTTACAGTTTTCGGAACATCTCTTGACTTGTCCATAGGGGTATGGATGTGTATTGGCTAAATTTGTAAGAGTCATTGGTTCAATCTTTCTGAATTTTGGATATATTTTTGGACTAGTACTATACATTACACACACAAAAGATTTGACAAAAATGCAAGGTGCAATTTTTTTAATGAAACAAAACGTTATAAAGAACTAATAGGGGAATTTAATTGTGGTCTGTGGCCTAAGAGGTGAATTCAGGAAATATTGAATTTGTACTTTGACAACTTCACTGAATGATCTATTGGTATTAATTTGTCAAACTACATGAGAATAAATGATTTCCACTTTTATTTGATAGAAATTTTGTAAAAAAGTGACATTTCAGCCTACATGCCCAAAATTGAACTTTTTCAGTTGTTTCAATATTTTTACAAAAGTAGCATGCTTACTTTCTCTCTGACAGATTTTTCTGGTTTTCTATTTGTGTTTGTGGTATCTAATGTAGATGTTTAACTCATTTTTGAACACTGAACACAAAAAAAGTAGATAAAATCAGAATAAGAGTGCAAAATGTGCTGCTTTAATGGTCTTTGTCTAACGGTCAGTATGAAGCAAGTGAAAAATGAGGTTCTATGCACATACAAGTTGAATTCCTTTTAGCAGATTTCACTGAATCTGTATCAAAAGCACTTATTACTGGTTGTTTGACCTTGTCTGTTTCACAGACTACCTTTATTTTATTTTGTTTGATAGCTAGTGGTTAAAATATTGGCCTTTTGAGGCTGAAATTTCATGCCGATTTTAAAAAGTAAAGTAAATAACTTTGCTTCAAATCATACTGTCTACATATATAGTTGAAAGTGACAGTCATGTTACATCCAGGCTCCATGTTTTATCATATCTAAACAAAGATTTGAGCAAAAAGAAGCATATCTCTACCTACCATATCATTTATATGCTTTTTAATATGCAAATGTGGGGAACGACCTAAATTGACAACCTGTTTTTTTAAGCTTGACATTGCTGAAGACAATTTTATTCACATGTGTTATGCTATTTGAAACTAATATTTCCATTAAAAGTACATTTATAACATGTAAAAGGTTTTTTTATAACTTAACAACTTCAGAAAATTGTGGTAAGTGAAAAATATTACATTTCATATAAGGCCTCACATCATTTGAAAACCTCTATTTTTTGGCACAGGCTCATATAAAATTTACTTCTGGCCATTTTTTATAAGTCTGAAACATGAAGTATGCTATCTGTTGCTTTTAATAGGTGATAACTTATACATAGAAACATTAAAAAATGTAAGTTTTGGTATATTTTGGTTTTTAGAAGCCCAAATTTGATAGTTGAAATTGTTCAAATTCAACGCCACAATTCAGCACCCAAAGTTCAGATATAAAAAATGCCACATTTTTTATAATTGGTATCATATGGCTTTGAAACTTTGTAAACTGTTTTATAATACACTAAGCTTAAATCATGCCAAGTTTTATTAGAATTGGTCAAGTTTTAGACCCCTAATAGGCCCAAGACCACAATTAATGATCCCGCTTTTCGTTGTCCACGAATATAGTTCCTTTTAATTAGAGTGTATTTTTTCTTAATTTTTTTTTCTTTCCCTTCCTCACTCATTTCTTAGTTTTTTGTGGGTGGAAATAAAAGAAGAGAGGTGAAATAAACTTTTGGATGTTGTATTTTAACTGATTTTGATATGGAAAGAGTGATTAGGCCAGGTGCAAAAAGGTGATATTTACAGTTTTCGGAACATCTCTTGACTTGTCCATAGGGGTATGGATGTGTATTGGCTAAATTTGTAAGAGTCATTGGTTCAATCTTTCTGAATTTTGGATATATTTTTGGACTAGTACTATACATTACACACACAAAAGATTTGACAAAAATGCAAGGTGCAATTTTTTTAATGAAACAAAACGTTATAAAGAACTAATAGGGGAATTTAATTGTGGTCTGTGGCCTAAGAGGTGAATTCAGGAAATATTGAATTTGTACTTTGACAACTTCACTGAATGATCTATTGGTATGTTTTGAGTCATATCCCTATTGACCTTTTGCCTAGAAGGTGAGTGGGGTTTTGGTGGTGGTGGTAGATAAATTGTTTTATTCTAAATTTCTTGAAAAAATAATTTTTTCAGAAGGAAGTCAAATACATACATGTTAAGGTTATGTTGACTTAAAAAAGGTTCATTGTTCCTGTATGTTATTAAAATAAAAATAGTTTGTTTCTTATTAAAAGAAGCTAGCATTTATTTTTAACTAAACGTTCCGCTTTGTAGATGATATCATTGCAATGAATATTCATTTGTGGAATGTGTTGAATTCATTTATCCAGTTTTAATGAATGCGACATATATAGCTAAATCTGCTTGCTCCATACCTTGAACAACAGTTGGAAATCGAAAGTGAGTGTCGGTTGAGAACTAATCTTTTACAGCAAAAAGAGTTGACTTTAACTTTTCAATTGCAAACTTATCATTTTTATGGAGCAACATTCAAGCAGAACCCGAGTCACAAATGACCACAACAATGTTCAATTGTCAATCTTTTTCTTGTTGCCTCGATAATGACTTATCACCAAATATATTAATAACGGGTTTGAAAGGTTGCTGGACTTTTACCACTCATAAGTAACACGGCCAGTCATGCTACTAGTGGAGAGAAACTCTAAAGTCAACAGTCATCTACCAATCCGGTATGGTATAAAGACTTAGCATCGACTAAGAATTATTAAAGTAAAGCATGAGAAACACGACTGGTATTATTAGTAGAGTGAAACTACGGACTTTCTGAAGCATCATTTCAAACGAGAAAATATCAACACTAACTTTATGATAATTAACATTTATACCTGATGTGACGATTTTGTCAAGTGGAAGCGAAAAAGTTGCAGACATGAATCCTAAAACTGTGAAAATGATTAACCCTGCATAAATGCTGGTTCCTTCTCCAATACATGACAGAATTATAGAATCGCTGCAATGATAAATATTGGATGACATTTTCAAAAATTGATATTCCAATTCCATGAGCTTCAGACCAAGAACAAATAAAAAAATATAATCTTTACTTGTAATTTCATCATTTTTTTTTCTAAAGCAGAAAATTGATAACGATATCAAATTTTGGATTGAAAACAGAAATGGAAGTACGAGACCAAATTTTAATCAATTATATGTGTACATGTTTGAGGATTTAAGAAAGATCTTAAATAACTTAATTACACTTCAAAAGATAAAACCTTTGGATATTCAAATAAAATATAAACCAACACATACCGCAAACAGTTGTTTTTAAATTTATTGAAACTAGCCATTGTAAACAACGGACCCCAAGTAGCACCAACAGAATAAAACACTTGAATAGCAGCTTCCATCCATACCTAAAATAAAATATATTGAATTTAAAGTGTGTCATCACATAATCTCATCTAATGGAATTTTGACATCAATACAAGAGTGTGTGGATTGGGGTTTACAGAAAAGAGAATAATGGACAAAAATATAAATAATAGAGAAAAATGGACCAAAAAAATAAAGAATAGAGAATAATGAGTTGCTAAAATATAAAGAATAGAGAAAAATGGGCAAAAGTATAAAGAATGGAGAAAAAATGACCTAAAAAATTAAAGAATACAGAAATGAAATTTAAAGTGTGTCATCACATAATCTCATCTAATGGAATTTTGACATCAATACAAGAGTGTGTGGATTGGGGTTTACAGAAAAGAGAATAATGGACAAAAATATAAATAATAGAGAAAAATGGACCAAAAAAATAAAGAATAGAGAATAATGAGTTGCTAAAATATAAAGAATAGAGAATAATGGGCAAAAAGTATAAAGAATAGAGAAAAATGGGCAAAAGTATAAAGAATGGAGAAAAAATGACCTAAAAAATTAAAGAATACAGAAATATATATTTATTCATATCGCAATGTTTTATGAAGGATGCTTCCTGTTAAACTTCAGAATGACAAGATTTTCATAAATTGAACGTATTTTACAACTCTGTATGCATGTATATGAGATACACGGGGATATTATGTTTTTAGATTTTTTTACTTGAAAGGAAATTCGAACAACATCAATTTTGAAAAATAGAAATAACAAAAATGAAATTATTTTGCAAGAAATGTATTTTAAAATTATTTGAAAATGAGAAAAACTATAATGATTATTGAGGAAGTTATTTTAATTAGGTAACTCAATGAGGTGATATAAAATCAAAGAATAATTGATTGTTGCTTAGTTATCGTCCAACGATAAATATTTCAAAATATTTGTGGCCAGAAGAAAAATAAACACTTGAAGAAGTTCAGCTTTAAATATAAACCCTTTTGTGTAAAGAAAAATTAAATATTCAATAAAGCTTGTTCGGGTTAAATAAAAGAAAAATACATAATAACAAATCCAAGTTAGAAAATCCAGCAACTGTTTGATTCATTGACGACTTTAAATCAAAATTGGACCAACAGAATTCATATATTACAATAATCGTATTGAATAAGAACAACTATTTTTAAAACTTTTTACAATAACCTGATCAATACCTTTGTGCATTTGTTCAAATGTATTATTTGCAAGTCACACAATGCTGGGACAGTCTTTAATTTTACTGTCTGGACCTCGGTGGCCGAGTGGTCTAATCAAGAGAAAAAAGTAGTCGAACTGCTGTATCACTAGCCTATCAACACTGAGGTTGTTAGTTCGAATCCCGCACGTGGCAGGTGGGTTCGACACCAATCTTTGTTGACTAGGGTTGTCAGTTTATCTACCGAAGGTCGGTAGTTTTCTCCGGGTACTCCGGCTTCCTCCACTAGGAAATAGCACAATAGTGGCGTCAAATATCAATCAATCAATTAATTATATTAACTGTCGAATTAAGGTTGTTTGAATCATGTTATTCTTTGCTTCTTTTCGGTTTCTTTTGGTTTATGACGCAGACTTTTTTCCATTGCAGTTATACCTCGTATATATATATATATATTGCTTCCGCAAATTTGCAGATTTAACATTGTTGTGCTGATATTTAGAGTAGTAATGAATATAATATGTGTTTTCATCCGTGTATCACCTTCACTGGTGATCTAATGGATGGATCTGTCGTAGAGTTCTCACTTGTTTAGACGTACATAATTATTTCTGTGACTGTATCTTACGATCCTTTACGATTGATATTTAGCTAATCTGCAATCAATTCCATCTTCATGCCCAAAATATTATGTACAGTGTTACAACTCTAGATTCTACTGACGAGGAAAGGTAACTCTAGGCCACCGAATTCTGTTTTATTAGTTCAGTCTAGGTGGCCGAGTGGTCTAGAGCGCTGATCACACTGTAGGCGGTGTTGTCTCGATATCTCAATAGCATGAGTTCGAATCCCGTCGAGGGAGGAACAAAAATTTGCTTCCGCAAATTTGCAGATTTAACATTGTTGTGCTGATATTTAGAGTAATTATGAATATATATATATATACATATTGAAGATATACACCTGCTGTTATCCTTTACGTATACATGTATTTGTTACCCCAGCCTTTATTTTTCAGATAATAAGTAGGAAACATATTTAACAACGGTTCCCTTAAAGGATTCATTAAAAAGTCGCTGACATTTTTTTTCGAGGTTTGTAAGTTCGTTTAAGATTTAGATTTTATAATGAATGAATATAAAAGGTTTATCAAACTAGTATCCAATATTAAATTATCTCCAACGAGTTTTGTTTCACATAAATGCAGCCAAACTGTATGTATAAAAATAAGAAGAGGTTGTATGTTTGCCAATGAGACAACTATCCACCAGAGACCAAATGATATGGAAGTTATCAGCTATAGCTCACCGTATGACCTTCAACAATAAGCAAAACCCATACCGCATAATCAGCTATAAAAGGCTCCGAAATAACTTGTGTAAAATAATTCAAACGAGAAAACTAACGGCCTGATTTATGTACAAAATAATGAATGAAAAACAAATATGATGTACATCAACAAACTACAACCACTAAATTACAGGCTCTTGACTTGTGTTATGATATTGTAATTATCATGTTTATTTATCTTGGCCTAATTTGTTTTGTGTGGCCTTATAAGATATATAATAGGGGTGTTTACTATTTATAGTTGTTTACAAAATAATCCTATAATTGTGCAGTTTAGGAATCACTGGAACAATCATAGATAATGATTAGAACTTTCTATTTGACTTACATAATAATTCCGGAATGATCATAATCTACGATGCGTAATTAAAACTTCTGAAATATTCTAGAAGTTTCCTTTCTATAGTTTTCTAGGAGTTTCCCTTCTACAGTGTTCTAGAAGTTTCCGTGACAACTATATATACAAACGCCGGAATTAGACAGACAGACATTAATATACTTGTATCCTCAGAAGTTCTCTTGAGTTGTTGGATTGACACTTTTATTTACGTTAACTACATCATACTAGATTGTGAACGTATTGAACATATTCCGTTACAGTTAAGAGAAGAATTCCGGATAAAGAAAAGACAAAAGATCGGACATATATTTAAACAGTTAAGTTGCCATTTCAATTTTTATAATACTTCTTGTAAAATCGTATAAAATATCTTGTTAAATTTTATTATTGATTTGTGTCTTTGTTGGCTACAATTCAAACACTTGGGACATGCACATACAGGATGTGGCGGGGTCAAACTAGTTTGCTGGCGCCAAATCCTCCCCCTAACCTGGGACAATGGTGTAACAGTACGACATAAGAACAAACTATAAAAATCAGTTGAAAAAGGCTTAACTCATCAGATCGATACACAGCAGAAAAACATCTAACAAAAACACAGACCGGACGTGGCAGGGTATTAATACATCCCTACAACAACAACAAAAAAACCGCTAAGTACAGATCTGAGAGTAGTCGCAGCTACTGACAGCTAGTTCAAAGCCAATAATAACTAATAAAACAAACAAGGATCTAAAACTAAAATATTTATTCTATGTTAAACAGTAGGCTTATATTTTTGTATGTTGTCAAAGCATGATATCATAGTAAAAATATAATCGTAAATACCTGCAATTTAAGCAATTTGCTAAAATCTGGTTTCAAATATAAGATCACTCCATCGATAGATCCATCTAGGGTTAATCCTTTGACGAGGACGATAGTTAGAAGAACATACGGCAAAGTGGCTGTAACGTAAACAACCTAGAAACATAACGAATTCTAACTTAAAGGAGGATCTGCTTACCTTTCCGAAGCACAAGAGATCACTGCGGTTTTTGGTGGGATTTGTGTAGCTCAGTCTTTTGTTTTCTATGTTGTGTTTTGTTAACTGTTATTTGTATTTTGGTCGTTTTTTTTTGTCGAGCCTGCGACTTTTGTCGCAGAAAGCTCGACATAGGGATAGTGATCCGGCGGCGGCGGCGGCGTTAGCTAACTTCTTAAAAGCTTTATATTTTCCAAGATGGAAGACCTGGATGCTTCATACTTTGTATATATATGCCTTATGTTATGAAGTTTCTGTCTGTCATATGTCCATTGTCCTTGACCTCATTTCCATGGTTTATTGGTCAATGTTAAGTTTTCATGGTAAAGTTTGTTTCTTAGATACTATAAGCAATAGGTCAACTTTATTTAATGCATAGATTGATTGTAAGGTGTACATGTCTGTCTGGCATGGTTCATCTGACCTTGACCTTATTTTCGTGGTTCATTGGTCAATGTTTGGTTTTCCTGTTTAAGTCTGTTTCTTAGAAACTATAAGCAATATGTCAACTATATTTGGTGTATTGAATGATTGTAAGGTGTATATGTATTTTCGGTTTGGTTTATCTGACCTTGACCTCATTTTCTTGGATCATGTTAAGTTTATGTGATACTTTTGGTAAAGCTTTATATTTAGGACTATCAACATAAAATCAATGGTCAGTAAAGAAGGAGAGACATTTCAGCGTGTGCACTCTTGTTGTTTTTTGCCATGGCATTGTCAATGTTTTGTTCGACTAATGAGTTTGAATTCCCTTTGGTATTTTATTTTTTTTTGAAGCAATTTCTTATGTTATATACAAGCATATTAACCAATTGCTAGTTCATTTTGAAAATTCAATCACGTCTGGTAGCTATAACATACACATACATAATATAGTAAATTTTCTTACAACTTGCAACAAACACTCTTTTCTTACGTCCAATCTGATGGAATTTTATCGTTTTAATCACATTTGTGGAATGGAATAGTTTGTTGCTACCCTTTATTTATACATTAAGTAGTAATATTCTGATGAAAACAAACATTAACGACTATAATAAGACAAACTTTATAATTCAAATGCTGCGTAAAAACTTGAATCACGATTTTCTCACTAAACGCATAAATGACCGGTATGATGTAAAAAGAAAGTTTTGTCTCGGCTCGAGTTGACAATGACAATGACAACTTTCAAGTACCGATATCGACCATATGGTAACGATATTTTGATATAAACTTAAACTCTTGATTTCACTGAGCATAACGCGTGTTTTAAACGTACTCTTTAAAGTTTAAGGCCAATTAATATTTGTGGCACAGCTTCCAAATTCGTGATCTATACCTTATTTCTCAAATCATACCGCATGTATTTTCAACAAAAAACATAGATTTCAGCCACGAAACGAGGGATTTTGAATAAGATTAATCAGCTGCGTGTCACCTGTAATTATTACATTGCTATAGTTATTACATTGCGATATGATTATATGGTGACTTTAAATTAGTATGTTAACTCCCTCAAATCACAGAACTGGCAATTCAGTAGTAATAAGTATAGCTAAAATTATATTAAATTTAGTATTGCCTTTCCAACAGATTTTACGCCTTTACTTATACACAAACAGATGAGCAACCATGCTCCAAACAAGGATAGGGCCAATCGCCAGTTTAGGTCTCCAATATCATGTAGTCCAGAAGACATCTGAAGAACGTTATATCTGAAACATATTCCAACATTATCAAAAATAATTTTATATATTACCTTTCTAGACAAAAATTTATGAAACTATTTTCTTTTTTATACTTCTATTTCCAAACGTGCAAGCCTTATACAACTTCTACATGTATATCATACTAAACATTCCATCGTACTTGTTATATTTCTACTACTCCCCAAGGGTATTATCAGCTAAGTAGTCAGTGCTTTGGTACTGACATGATTTATAACAACTTTCTTAAATTGTCTGTCAATAAATTTAGAAATTATTAAGAAACAAAGGTTCCTCAGGCAAAGTTGACCTTAGATAGATTTGACTGTTATCTTTAGTTCTCTTTCAGTTAGATTGTTCTTCAAGATGGTTGATACTTTTACATCCCTGGCTTTCAAAGTTTTGGCTTTGAACGTTCCTGATGAATGTAAATCAATAAAAACCTGTGGACGCATACAATTTATAAATTGTTGTTTTCATTTTGGTCAACACTGGGTTGTATACCACTGCTGGTGGACTATTATTCCCCGTAGTATCATAAGCTCAGTAGTCAGTGCTTCGGTACTGACATGATTCATGACAAAAAAAAAAATGATGCTTTGTGCGATTTTCATCAGAATTTAAGAGGACGAAATGAAAAACGATAATATTCACTTATCAGGACTGTTTAAATAACAAATTATAAATTTAATGCGTCCAAACGCATTTCTTGATTTACCTTCACCACGAATGCTCAAAGCCAAAAGTTTGAAAGCCAAGGATTTATAAGTACCGAAACAGTTGAAGAGCTTTATAACTAAAAAAAAGACCTTAAAATAATAGCCAAATCTTTCTAAGGTCAACTGTGCATGCGGGAGTTGGAACCTCAGTTTCTTAATAATTTCTAAATTCATTGACAGACAATTTTAAAAAGATGTGTTATTTTAGATGTAGACACTTCAGGAAAAACTGTATAATCGATCTTTTCCATTTGAGATTTAAGGAAACATTGCGGATGTAAAATAAAAGACGTCGAGTTAAAAAAAATCTTACTGGTCCTGGATAAAAAAGCTAATGAATATAGTCAGAAAAACATTACTTAAAACCAAAACCTTCATTTGTACATAGCAGATAAAGTTATTTTTTTCTTTTTTAGGGTTATGATATGTAATATGAAGAGCTTTTGTATGGAACTTACTGCCAAAATTCCTCCTGAGCAGTCACCAACTTTAAAGTATCATTTGTCCACGTATATTCGTTTGAAGTGGTTGTGTTATAAACACCCATGTTGAGCATTTGAAACGTTAAATTGTGATTTTGAGTGGTAAAGTTTCTTCCTTGATCAAGAACGCCACGATCAGTTACGCACTGTGGACTATTCCATTTATTGTCACATGTAGTCCAAGGTAAAGGACTAATAAAAGAATTACCAAGATAATAAATAGTCCACGCAAGAATGACGTTATAGTAAATACTGCATACGACATTCATGATTGTCATACCAATACCAACACCTGCAAGTAATATTTGTACATATAATATATAAAAATGAAAAAAACTTATATGTTATATTTTGAGATGAACATTTACTTGCTAATTTATACTTATAACAGATAAGACTGTCGAGTTTGAATAAATATTATGATTTTTATGTGAGAGTTATGTTTTATCACATTTATCTCCAAAAAACATTACACTTTGCCATGCGGTAATATATTATAAATGTTTGTGTATACTGTTAGTGGGTCATCTGTACAACAATACAACTCAATGATGTTTATCTAGTTTTGTTTTGCTTAATTACATTTCCTTAAGAAATTGATAGAATTAAAATGGTATTCTCATAGATGGCCTTACTAGAATTGGGCAGGATTTTACGGAATTTTTGGTTTTTAATGTTGCTCAACTTATATTTGATTTGGTCTTTCAACTGTTTTGAAAAGAGCGCTATTGACGGGTCTGTAATGACAAAAACGCTCGTAAGGCGTGCCAAACTGTTAGCCTGTTATCTTTGATAAGTTTTTACATCACTTGTTCATCCCATGATTAAAGTAAAAAAAAAAGATTACGTGATTTTTATCATACCTTTAAATATCGGGCATACCTCCCAGACACGCAGCAGTCCTTGACCTGAAAATTGTCCGACAGCAGTTTCCAAGAAAAACAGAGGAATGCCAAATAAAAGCAAACATATGAAAAACGGTATCAAAAATGCACCTACAATAAATTTGCAAATTTAAAAAATAATCTTTATTGCAATCAAGCTATAAACATTCGTATTCAAATGTCCTGGCGATACTGATGTTTTGACATTTGACAAAGGCATGCTTTCCTCAGATTGCGTATGACGTCCTTACACTAAATCAGGTGTAAAGTCATTAATGAGTGTAAAACAGTCAACGCTACGTGTACTAGTGTAATATGCTTTTTTTAATTACAGAAAACGAACGCTATGTGCAAGAAAACGCGGTTTACATTATTGATAGCGCTTTTATTACACAAAGAGCCGCAACGTATCCCATTATTTCACAATAAGCATTATTAAAACACGTACTGGTTTAAATTACTGTTTTTTTGCTATGATTTTGTTGGGGTTTCTTCGAGCTATGAGTTTTGATTCTGCCTTTTGTATCGTCCGCTTTTTTTTGTAATTCTCTCAGTCTCATGACCTTTTTCTAATGATAAAATGTGTGTGATGTAAGTACTATTTAGAAGGGCTTTTCCTAATCGAATGGACGTGTTTGTTCGACAAATATCGATTTTAATCGCTTCAGTGTTACAGTAGCTGTTCGAAACAAACACTTTCTGTTTTTTGAAAAAAAAGCCTAGGAATCCCGATCTACATAGCTTTGTCAATTACTGACCGGAGAGTGGGATTTCTACCCAAGTATACTGGTTGGGGCCTGGTTTATTATTTTTTTTATTCTGACCGTTTTGTGCTTTTGCTCTCAAGAGATATATAATGGTGCTCTAGAGACATATATCGTGTGTACTGCGATTGGTGTCATACGTTAGTGTTACACCTGCGTAACATATCAAAATCACTGCAACAAACTCATATCCGTGTATGCAAAAAATGTCGTAAACCCCCTTCAAACAATTTATTTTATTTTACATATTATCATCAATTTAAGAAAATGAGTTTAGTGTTACCCCTTTTCACTTAAAATTAGCGGATTCAAAATTTTGAAAGCTGCGATTTATTTTAAATGGCAATCATACTTTCATAGTTGATTTTTTGTTCAATTCACCATTTCTTTTTCATATTATATAGAGTAGTGCAGTTCTAAAAATATACAAACCTCCACCGTTTCTTAAACAGATATATGGAAAGCGCCATAAGTTTCCCAAACCAACTGAAAAACCAAGCATTGTTAGAAAGTACTCAATTTTTCTCCCCCACTGTCCTCTTGTAGCGCTTTCATCCTCTGTAATTGGAGATTTGTTTGAACTTCTCATCCTGTTCAAATATATCCAGAGAAAAATTTAAAAAAATGCAATATCCTAGAGTTAGATTTTCTGAAACTCTGAACAATAAACATTACAACGACACCATCTTTGTCGTTATTTTTTTTTTCTAGAAATTACAGTGACACGCTGATAAAATTGTTTTCCCTAAATACTAAAATCGGGAATGTATGAAACATATGCCGTAGAAGTGAAATACAAAAGTGTTGGTTTACGCTCTTTCTAAAGATTTCCAAACATTGTGGTCAAAACCATGTAATGAAAACCTGATTTACTTGATAAATACAGTACACATGTACATGTTCAGCTACCAACAGAATAAAGGGAGTACTATACAAAACTCACAGGTGACAGCCGAGCCGTACAGGTAATTATATTGAATAATTAAAATTAGTTTAAAACATTTGAATATTAACATTTTCTCAATCATGTTTATGAAATAAAATTGTTAAGTAAAATCAATAAATGTTGTAATAACCCAGGCTGTGTACCCCTCTCAACAAGTAAATGAAAATGTGACTGACAACTTGCATATGACATGTATTCATTAAGAACAAAAATGTATGCATAATATACATGTAATACATTTATGTATATTACATGCATTCCAAAATGTACTTTCATTTTGTTAAATATTACTTATAATTTTTATATGCAAAGCATATGTAGAAAGTGGCGTGTAGAAATCTATGTACACATTAAAATTAATAAAATGTTATTGACTCTAAATCATTTATAAATTTCGATGCACTTTTTTTACCACACTACACACATGGCATACTAATGTTCTATCATGTACATATTCACCTTTTATGATGAAAGGACAAAATTGTAGTTTAGTATTAGTATGATAAAGAGTGTTTAAGCTAGTTTTCTCTGAAATTGACAAATCATATGACATAAATATATTCCACAAAATGTATGCATCAGATGTTTACGAACACTGTTAAACATGTTAAAGTTAAGTTTAAAACACCTATGAATTTAATTAACAGACAGATTATACCGACAGCACTAATCTGAAATCTGCATCTTTATGTTATAGTCTGAATATGCATATTATATTGCATGTAGCATGACTAGCATCTACATATGCATATTATACCAGCATCTACATGTCTTTGAAAATGAACACATTTATGAAGTGGCTTTGTAATTCTAGTCTTGTTTAACTTAACCTATAAAGTGTCCTTTTAACTCAGTCTAGAAGTAAAGCTGAGTTAAAAACACAATTTAATATTTACATGTACATGTATGTTGACTCTTTTTGTCTTTTGTTCTTATGTTAGTAGTCTGTGTGCCTCCTACATATATTTTAAGTTAAGCTGATTGCTACTGATTTTTGTAGTTTGTTCCTTAGTTAGTGGTTGTCATATGATCGTGTCTGTCATATTTGTTTTTCGTTATTGTTTTGTTATGAATTAAGCTCTTAGTTTTCATGGTTTTCTCGTTTGAATTGTTTCACATTTTTTATGCTCTTGACTTTTTAATGCAGGCAGCTATAACGTATAGGATTTCCTCATTGTTGATGTCCGTACGGTACCTTAAATTGCTTAATAGCACTTCATTTTAACTTTATTAGATACTTGTCTCATTGCCAATCAAACCACATCTCCTCATTTTTATGTAAGGTATATATATATATATTTGGGTTTTTTTTATCAGGAAAGCTGTTAAACATGTTTAAAACACATTTTTCACCTAAGTGCAATGAAGTGACATTAATTTCAAACTTATGTTAATTTGTGTTTTTTTTTATTTTACTTCTAAACTGAGTTTAAAAAGAAAAGTCGGTCAAGGTAAGGAAACATAGATGCCAATAATATTATGTATAATTCAAACCATAACATTTTTGTTCATTTTATGCCAAAAGCATTTTTTCTATATAAGGCTCCCTTAAGTTTTCATAATTCTATTTCCATTAAAATATTTCATTTCAATAAAGATACTGAATAAAAACCAGAATGAGTTCATTTATTACAATCAAATAACGTTCACATTAATTTTTTATTAATTTAAGATTTCATATCATGTTTGTGTTTAAATTTTTTTATTTACATTTTTCTTATAAAAAGTACTAGATTTTAACTGTGTCAACACTTAAAAATTCAAAAGTGTCAAAACACTTGTACATTGAAAAAATCATATTTAAATATTTAGGCAGAATCATGATAGTTCAATAAAGAATTAAAAGAAGGATAAGAAAGATTATTTTCTGTTATCATCACAATATATCTTATTCCTAAATGTGCTTGCCTTAAGTTTCAGGGGCAGATCCTGGAATATTTTAAAGAGGGTGTAATTCCCAATAATTGATTACCCCCAAAAATGTGTGACACTTAAAAAGTTTTGGATGATTTTACACTAAAATTTATATACATCAAGAAAAACATGATTTTTTTCGGCAATCAAAGGGATGTGTGGGGGTGGGGGTCTTTCACACTCCATCTTGACCCCTGGATCTATCAATGAGTCTTATCACTGTGCACGTGGTACTGATTAACCACATAAATATAATTATTCAATTGAAAGATTATACATGTTTGCATCCTATATCCATTGCAGGAGGGGCCTCGGTGGCCGAGTGGTATAAGTAGTTACTACTGTAATCACTAACCAGTCAACACTGAGGTTATGAGTTCGAACCCCGCTCGTGCGGGTGCACTCGACTCCAATCTCAATTGACTAGGATTGTCAGTTTTCCTATCGAAGGTCGGTGGTTTTCTCCGGGCACTCCGGCTTCCTCCACCAATAAAAACTGGCCGCCACGAAATAGCCCAAAAGCGGTGCTTAAAAGTGGCGTTAAAACACCAAAAATCAAACCAATCCATTGCAGAAAAAAAACATACTTAACAGTTTTTGAATGAAGTGTCTCTTATAGCTACATTTAAAACATACTACATGTACAATATTTGTTGATTATGTAATAGCATTTATATTTTATCACTTTGCAGATTGCAGATAGTGTTATCAAGTCCAGTAGGAATAGCCATATTATTGCCTAGTTAGTCAAGGATATGGAGAAACCTGTCATATATTAAAATTTGAATCAATACCTTCAGCAATATTTTAACACTGCAGCATATAAGCACATATCACTGCCACTACCCAGCTTAAAGCCTCTTCCGAACATTTGAAAGTCACCTACTATGTACTGGTTACCTAAATTGCACAAAAAATCATTTAAATTCCGTTTCATCTCCGCATCTAGTAAGTGGTAATGGTATTAATTATTTTTGGAGTGTTAAAAATTCTTTAGAGGTTTTAGATAAAATACATGCTTTTGATGGTCCTTTTAATTCTGTTGACAGTTATGATTTTTCTACTAAAGTGTATCGACAAGTAGTGGGTATTCCTATGGGCACTAACGGCGCCCCTTCAATAGCAGATTTATTCCTGTATTACTATGAATCTCAGTTTATGACCAAACTCAGTAAAGACACGTCATTGTTACATTTGGTTGATACATTCAACAATACCTTCCGTTATCTAGATGATATTTTTTCGTTAAATAATCCAGAGTTCTCTAAATATACTACCGAAATTTACCCAATAGAACGTACTTTAACTAAATCTAACATAAACAGCAGTAGTTGTCCTTTTCTAGATTTGGACATTTCAATCTCTAAAGGAAAACTCCATACGAAAATTTACGACAAAAGAGACGTCTTTTCATTCCCTACTGTTAATTTTCCTTTTTTAGACGGCGATGTTCCTTTGGCTCCATCATACGGTGTTTATATATCCCAACTCGTTCGTTATGCCCGTGTGTGTAGTGATGTCATAGATTTTAACGAACGTTATCAATGCATCACTGGTAAATTATTAAGTCAGGGATTTCGTTACCATAAATTACGTAAAACTTTTACTAAATTCTTTCATAGATACAAAGATTTGATTAGTAAATTTGGCTGATTAAAACGGTATTTCACATCCTAAATTTTACGGTAATATTGTACTTAAAGCGCGGAAATCACTATGTGATACGTGTAAACTCATCGAACCTTTAAACAAACTTATTAATAAAGGTTATCTTACCAATGTTGTAATTAGATCTTTGAATATAGTTTACATTGGCACTAATATCGATTTTGTCATCAGCAAATTAAAACATTCTTTTCAAACGGGGTGTATAAAGACACTCCCACGTTCATTTTGATCTATGAATAGGTTAACCTCCTAACTATCCTACTGCCTTGCGATACATTTATTTTTGGCATTGCACAAGTCTTCTTTGACTGTCCATGACGTTAAGATACTAAATCCCTGGGATGTGTTTTTGTTGATTTTAGTCTCTGATGCATGATTTTTTTATTGTTAATTGTTCTTGGCTTTTAACTAGCTGTCAGTAACTGCGAGTACTCTCAAATCGTACTTTCTTGTTTATTTGACCTGTTGATACTAATTGTAATGCTTTTTTGTTATTCAATGCTATTCAGGGTTATATCTGGTCTATATACCAGCTTTGATAAGTGTTTGGTGTTACTATAAATTTTCACTTCGTACTATGAACATCAAAATTATTTATTTTGTAAAAATATTTCCTTTCTTTATTTGAACTGTACACGTATACCTAACAACACAATTATTTTCATTTACCTGTGTTTAAAGTAATTGCAAATGGCTGATATTTTTGTTCGAGCATATTGTTTTTCTTACATTGTTTAACATTTCATAGCGGTATAACATGTTACTTTTATTATTCTTCCCTTAGTTAGACAAATCGGGGAATATTGCTATAATGAAACTTATAATGACATAGTCTGTCCAAAGCCAACCATTGCTATAACTGAGGTTGACTTGACCGATGAAGGAGAATCCAATAAACATTAATGTCCATCAAGAACGGAGCTTTCAAGTAATAAAATATTAAAGTTTGTTTTGTCTACTATTCTGATTTTTTAAAAATTTAAATATATTTAATTCTCAAGGCTAATGTCAACAACAAAGTCAAAACGTTTTTAGTTGTTAATAAATTGACCACATGGCAGA